CGGGAAGGTTAACAAAGAAAGCAAATGCCCGAAGAAGTCGGATGTGTCGTATGTAATGCGTTAATATTCCAGCTATGTATAGACAGATACAGAACAGATACATCAAATGGAGGAAGATTGATAAAGAGAAGAAATGACTTTTGTTTTGAAAAGCTGATTTATGTAGGGAAAAATATAAGAAAAATGCCATTTTTTTTAAAAGGATTGTTATTATTTATTCGTGTTTATTTTAGTAATGAATTATTTAATCATTCAGTATGTCGGCTACTTGCTTTAATGGACGAACAATCATCCGCCTGGATGACGATTCTAATTAAGGGACATATTTGGGGCGAGGTTTCAATTACCATCCCCCATTTAATACAAATCATGCTAGTACAAATTTTCGGGGTATGTGGTATGTGCTACTCTTCCTTCTCTAGTCCTGTTTTGCCTTTCAGCTTAAGGTTTTGAAGAGGTGTCAGGTGAGAGCCTCGGTATGTGCTACGTACATGCTGGTATTTATTGCCTAGGATATTCTACCTATCAATGGCTTGCGTGGTCTACCTCTGGTTGTGGCTCAGTCTAAGTGACATGGCTCTCCGTCGTGCACTGTCTGGTGGTAGTCTTGACACATGTCCGAACCATTTGAACTGCTGTCTCTTGGTGTAATTTAACACTCGTTCCCCTTATTAAACTTCGGTCCTGATATCGTCAGTAGTGACATTTAAGATTCGCGAAGACACTTCATTTCTGTGGTTTCGATTTCGTCTTTCGCATACGGTATGTGGTGAAGAAATCCCACCAACCAACAAGTCACTAAAGTCAAAGATTCTTGTCATGTGAACACACACCAGAATAGATCGCATTCAGGGAAACACAAATAGTACGGGAAGGTCAAAGAGAAGCTGCGAAAAAAAAAAAAGTTGTTGAAAAAAAAGCAACGAATACGAAGGAAAATATTTTAGGGACAATTACAAACAACAACAACATTTTACTCTGATAAAATGACTGGAGGCAAAACGGCCGGCAAACTAAAAAGTGGTAGACATCGGTAGATGTGGGAAGATAATACCAACGGATGGACGAACAATGTCAAAGCAGGACTAAAATGTGGAAGATCCAGTAGAGACAGTACAGTAGCGGGTTTCTCTCGTGCCATATGCATCTAGACTGACTGACTGACTTTCTACCCCACTAGGACATCACAGAAGCGATAAACACCCGATGACACAAAGTGCCACCATGTGGATGAGGATCGCCGTGGAGAGGTCCCAGAAACCGCGTTCAGACAATTGGCCATATTGATGGCCTGCCTGTATTGCGGCCCCTGGCAAAAGCCAGAGTGGGGCTTCAAAAAAAAACAAAAAAAGACGTAAGGGGTACTAAGCAGGCTTTCCCATTTATTTGGGCGCCCAGGCTTAAAAAATGGGCACCGGAAAGTTTCTGATAACGTAAAAGTGGGCTTCATGTTCTTGATCGTTTATTCTTAACCGTTCTTGGTGTGGCTTCCGGGGCTTTACCGCGGGGAGAGGGAAAGGATTGACTAACCGCTCCTTCAATAGCATGTTGTAAAAGCCGATTAATGTGGGATTTTTTCGTCGAAGTCGGTGCATCTGCTTGGGAGGCGAGGAACCAATAGTTTGTATTTAAATAATCCAGATATGTAAAACAGATATGCACGCAAAACGCAGGTTCTCGAACCAGGAAGAAATCCAGAAGTGGAAGAACAGCCTTAACCTTCAGTCGGAGTTTACATCTGATGAACGCACAGAACAAGAAGAAAAAGAAGAAGAAGAAGAAGAAGAAGAAGAAGAAGAAGAAGAAGAAGAAGAAGAAGAAGAAGAAGAAGAAGAAGAAGAAGAAGAAGAAGAAGAAGAAGAAGAAGAAGAAGAAGAAGAAGAAGAAGAAGAAGAAGAAGAAGAAGAAGAAGAAGAAGAAGAAGAAGAAAGAAGAAGAAGAAGAAGAAGAAGAAGAAGAAGAAGAAGAAGAAGAAGAAGAAGAAGAAGAAGAAGAAGAAGAAGAAGAAGAAGAAGAAGAAGAAGAAGAAGAAGAAGAAGAAGAAGAAGAAGAAGAAGAAGAGGAAGAAAATGAAGGAGAAAGAGAAGAAGAAGAAGAAGAAAAAGAAGAAGAAAAAGTAGAAGAGGAGAAAAAGAAGAAGAAAAAGAAAAAGAAGAAGAAGAAGAAGAAGAAGAAGAAGAAGAAGAAGAAGAAGAAGAAGAAGAAGAAGAGGAAGAAGAGGAAAAAGAAGAAGAAGAAAAAGAAGAAGAAGAAGAAGAAGAAGAAGAAGAAGAAGAAGAAGAAGAAGAAGAAGAAGAAGAAGAAGAAGAAGAAGAAGAAGAAGAAGAAGAAGAAGAAGAAGAAGAAGAAGAAGAAGAAGAAGAAGAAGAATAGAAGAAGAAGAAGAAGAAGAAGAAGAAGAAGAAGAAGAAGAAGAAGAAGAAGAAGAAGAAGAAGAAGAAGAAGAAGAAGAAGAAGAAGAAGAAGAAGAAGAAGAAGAAGAAGAAGAAGAAGAAGAAGAACAAGAACAACAAGAAGAAGAAGAAGAAGAAGAAGAAGAAGAAGAAGAAGAAGAAGAAAAGAAGAAGAAGAAGAAGAAGAAGAAGAAGAGAAGAATTAGGAGGAGGAGGAGGAGTAGAAGAAGAATTAGAAGAAGAAGAAGAAGAAGAAGAAGAAGAAGAATTAGAAGAAGAAGAGAAGAAGAAGAAGAAGAAGAAGAAGAAGAAGAATAAGGAGATGAAGAAGAAAAAGAAGATGAAAAAGAAAAGGAAGAATGCTTGTGACCGCATCATCCCTCATCTATCTGTGACTGATTGAGCTCAAATATAGACCTAGCATGGTAAAGCTAATCCTCTTGTGTGAACAGGGCCACACGGGAAGCACAGAAACAAGAAACTAGCTGACCTTGGGAGTGGGGGGGGGGGGGGGGGGAATTGTTGTCAATATTTTAGTAGATAGATTGGGGAGATGACCATCGTTCCTCTCAATGTAAACATTGTTCTAGCGTGGCCTCTATATCCCAGCTGATTCCCTCTACTTCTGTGATCGCTAATCTCCACAAAAGAATTTATTTATCATGCAGTGAAGCAGCCACTGTTGTTGCATTTTCCAGGTGGATGTGGGAAACATCACAGACCGTCTGCAGTTACGAGCCAGCCTCCAGTGCAAGAGCTTTGAGTGGTTCCTGAAAAATATCACCCCAGAACTGTCCTATCCGCACAACATGACCTACGCTGGAGTGGTGAGTCTGAATTTAAATAGTGTGTGTGTACGTGAGTATGTTTGTACATATATACATATATGTATCGTCATCAAATACATTGTCAAACATCGTTCGAGGTGACGCTCATGTAACCGTCGACAAGAGTGTAGATAATCATGTGTCTTGGCCGCATAGAGTGAGTGGAATGTATGGTGCTGGTGCAGTTCGTTTAGATGTGTCAACACTCAAGGGATGACTTGGTCAGTAGCACACTGGCCGCCTTTACTTCCCATTCAAATGTCTGAATGACTCAACATGGAAACTTTGAAGAATGGAAAAAAGGTTAGAAGGGGATCCGTAATACATGAACATCAGACTGGGCAGCAAGAGTCCTACCAGGGAGACACTAACCACCCGCTTTCATGACCGAGGGTGACTTTTTACTTTTAATGTATCACGGATCAATAGCCCTCACATGTTTGGTGTGTTAACCGTTTACCAAACCACCGGGCACGACATCACCCAAAACATCACTTACCAGTCAAGTTTTTGGCTTTTTTTTTTTTTTTATATCTGTAACTTTAGTTCTAGCCACAAATATGTAGCTGAATGACTGCGAATATCATAAGAATGTGTAGCTGACTGCAGATATCATAAGAATGTGTAGCTGACTGCAGATATCATAAGAATGTGTAGCTGACTGCAGATATCATAAGAATGTGTAGCTGACTGCAGATATCATAAGAATGTGTAGCTGACTGCAGATATCATAAGAATGTGTAGCTGACTGCAGATATCATAAGAATGTGTAGCTGACTGCAGATATCATAAGAATGTGTAGCTGACTGCAGATATCATAAGAATGTGTAGCTGACTGCAGATATCATAAGAATGTGTGGCTGACTGACTGCAAATATTAGAAGACGCCGTAAACACAATTGTTATTGTATAGACATGAAAGCACCTAGAACACTTCACAGTCTGCTCAGATTTCATGCTTGGTCTGTCCATAGATCCAGAGTAAAGCCAACTCAAAATGCATCATCATCTCGTTCGACAAGAATAAACCTGTAAAAAGACCAGTTCTCTATGATTGCAAGACACCTACATTTTTCCATGTCTGGTACATGGGCGCTTCAGCTCAGATCAACCAAGATGACGTCTTTCTTTGCGTCGACAACGGCACCGTTGTCCTTCACCAGGGGAAGTGCCAAAAATCCCAACCACAGTGGCAATACAGAGAGGTTTGTCCTGTTGTTGCTGCTTTTACGTCTTCTTCTTCTCCCTCCTCTGCGTCTTCGTCTTCTTTTTCCTCGTTCTCTTCCTTTACTTCTTCTTATTCATCGTAAAATGAATCGTTGTTCATTTCGTCAGACTATCGAAAAACCTGCAAGTTTGAATCCGATATAATTGACATCCAGCTTTCTAAAACATTTACATCCACCCAAGTAAAATGGCCTAGATATTTCTTCCAATCCTAGACCAACAACATTGTCACAAAACACCACTACCAATGCTGCTGTAACCACTACTAGTACTGCTGTTGCTACTGCTTTTACAACTCTACCACAGCATCAACTACAACTACAGCAATAACAACAACTACTACTTCTATTACTATCACAACTATTAAACTATCAACACTTCTGTTTATCGTTTATATCCTCAGGAGAGATGGCTCTACCACACACCTACTGGACAGTGTCTGACCATCGCTGCCGAAAGTCAGCTGGTTGTCTCCCCCTGCACCAACAGTGGACAACAGCTGTGGTACTTTCAGAGGCGAAGATCGGACCTCGAGTTTCCTTCATATTTATAAGCTGTACCCATTCAATTTATTGTTTATGTGTTAAAATGTTATTCATATGTACTTATCGTTTGTTGATTAATTACACATTGATAACACATATCGGGAGCAGCAGAAGCAGCAGTAACGACATCATCAACAGCAGCAACATCAGCAGCTGGGAGAAAAAAATTGAAATAAAGAAAGTTTGAATGAAAGAAGAGATTTATACATTTTTATTATTAAATAGCAGGGTACGAACTCTTTTCATTTGGTTTCACTGGATGTTTTATCTGGCTAACGAAAAAAAACTTTTTTGTCAAGTTACCTGGTCGTTCATCAACGTATGTGAGTTTCTTTAGCGAGGAACCGTGGTCACGCAGAGGTGACGGGTTCCAGTCTCAGTCGTGTTCTCAGCACCGATATGTACGCTACCCTCCGGATTTGTTTGGTTTGCCAAGTCTCATTTGGTGACAAACTGAAGGCAGGTTCGATTCTGTGTATAAATTAATAGTTGTATATTTTATCAAATGTACTGAAGAACTACAAGAGCGACGCTGGCGTAGGGACAAGGAGACTAACCGGCCGTCTGTGTGTTCGAATTCCAATGGAGACCAATATTTGAAATTGATCTCAGCTCTCAGAGGTGCCAACTTTACCTCCGCCCCCGCCTCCCCCGCCCCCGCCTCCCCTGCCCCCAAAAAATGATGGGATGTGTTATAGGAAGCAGCAACCATCGACCTGACCTTGATTACACCAGCCACCGAGTTTGAAAGTAAATACGACTGAAACTAAAGTAATACAGGTCAGCATACTTCCTAATCCGCTACATATCGGGTTGAATGGTACTTGTCTGAAGCAAGTTTTATAATTTATTTATCTAGGAAATGTATTCTTTAAGATTAACGAACAGAGCGGGAAATATGAAGAAGACGCCAACGAGCCAGTGCACTTACACACCGACTGATTATGACATCCAAACATAAGTATGAGCGCCCAGAAATAGATTATAAACAACATATTTATACCAACACTGTGCTACCAGTGCTCGGCTTGGACATTATTTAAGGCTAACCTGGGTAAAATTTATAACTGTGAAATGAAATGCCTGAAAAAAGCCACCATTTAAACCGTCCAAGACAAAGTAAGAAATTGAGTTATCAGACAGACTATGTGATCACACCATGCAAACAATTTATTGAGAAACAGTAGATCAAATGGTTTGGTCGTTTAGTGAGAATGCATCTAGAACATCTACCATCGCAGACGCTAATACATAAAAGGATCTGAAGTAAAAGCAAGAGGCCACCCTAGGAAATATGGATTAATGATATTAAAAAGCTTCTACATCGACACGGAATGGCAATAGACATTTTTACCCACCGAGCAAAGGATCGCAAACTGTTCCTCCCCACAACGTTTAACAACAGAAGTGGAAATTGATGATGATAATGAGCCACCGAACGACTGGTCTATACATAAATACAGCTACAGGAGTGGGCAAACCATGGCCCGCGGGACAATCTGGCCAGCTGAGCAAGTTTTACTGGTCCACTAGGCTGGTGTAAAACGACTACGTAATTTGTCCTTTGAGCTGACAAATTAGAAAAACACAAAAACATACATTCTTATGCTAAACAAATATCAACACCCCCCTCCCCCTCCCCTAGTGATAACTAGAAACTAATGAGGCCAAATCTGTGATCCTTGGAACACATGTTGCTGACAAACACAGACAGGAATGAAATGTGTGTTTTGTTTATAATGGATGTGTTTCTAAATAAAAACGGAGCAGATAAGACCACCGGAAAGTCTTTCCTTGCTGTATAGGTGTGAACATTCAGCGAACTTCGTGAAGAGAGAGAGAGAGAGAGAGAGAGAGAGAGAGAGAGAGAGAGAGAGAGAGAGAGAGAGAGAGAGAGAGAGAGCGAGAGAGAGAGAGAGACACACACACACACACACACACACACACGCACGCACGCACGCACGCACACACACACACGCACGCGCACGCACGCGCGCGCACGCACGCACGCACACACACACACACACACACACACACACACACACACACACACACACACACACGGAGATCGCAGGTCGGCGAGGTTTTCCGGACAGTGAACAAAAATGTCAACCCCACGGCCGGGGGAGATTGAACCAGGACTAAAGAAGAGATGTTTTAAGCAAGAATTGCACATTTAAATATGTGCGTAAAAACACACACACACAGACACGTACACGTATGCAGACAAAATACTGCACGCCAGAGCTATATAGCTTAGTTATGGAGGTGACAATCATCAAATCTAGCCACTTCAGCGACAAAGCCCTCATGTCTCTTTTAAATAGCTTTATTCTCACTTTGGGCACTTTAACACCTAGGGGACTGAACTGACAACACAGTTTCATCTAAAATCCTAAGGAATTGAAGTGGCCACACAGTTTTACCTAAAACCCTCTAGTTACGGTCCCTGAAATTCCCCAGGCTATTTATTTTCCGGTCCCATGCGCTTCGTCGGTCTACTGTCAAGACATCTACCTGGCCACTTCGAGATACTAAGCTAAGTGATTTTGTGTATTTGTGTGTTATTGTTTTACTTCTGGTAATGGTAATATTAGTTTCAGCTTCATAGCAAACAAGTCACCCCATAATTGCTCCGCTCCTGTGCCAACAAAAACACACACAGAATGTTCGTGGCAGTCCCTTGTGGAAAGATTGACAGACTGCTGTCCCAGCATATGCAATAGCATACACACGCATTAAAAGCATACGGTAGCCATCTGAAGTGCTAACACAAACAGTCCAACATTAGAAATGCAGTTCATCATCAACGGTAGCAGAGGTAACCAACACATCAGCTGTTACACACGCGATGAATTTTATTTATGTATGTACTGATGAAGGCTCCATAGCCGTAACGTTCACGTTATGTTTGTGTTAGTTATATTGTGAAGCTTGCTGATATATTTTTGGTTCGGTTTTATATCTTTTCTTGATTTATAACTATGTTTACCCTGGGGTCAGAATTGTCAAAATTGTGATCGTCACGGGCCGCATTGCTTCTACCTGAGTATAGAAAAATCCCCAGTACAATTCAACTAGCAATAATTCGTTGGCCACTTGTTAGCACACAAAAAAGTGGAACGATGTCTAAAGCTGTGTCTATTAGTAGTGATATAAATATTTTTTAAAAATGAGTTGAGTTGAGTCAAGAATTGACATCAAAGCACTTAGGGCATTCCCATGCATGCCACGTCCTCATCTTCAGCAGCTAGCGCCGAGTTCCAATACTGATGGTACCGGTCACAATCTGGTTAAAAGTCAGTCTTGCCTTTCCTCTGAGTGTATTGAGTCAGTCAGACCTTCTGGTTACACCCAGGTGCCTCATTCTCTCCAGGCCATAATAATAAAAAATTTTATTTAAAGAATTAATTTACATTTCTGACAACCAACTAGATTCAATCAAATGTGTCTTCGTCAGCCACGTCGATTATCAAATATATGGAGTATGACTTCCATACTTTCCCCTGGGCTCTCAATCAATCGTTCTGTAGTCTCCATGTAGACATACTTTCACACAACCGCATACACTGACATCACCCCAGCTGACCCTAGACTCACGCAGACGTACATTGTGTAGTACCATAGAATATACCTCCATGTAGACATACTTTCACACAACCGCATACACTGACGTTACCCCAGCTGATGCTAGTCTCTATGTAGACATACTTTCACACAGCGGCATACACTGACATCACCCCAGCTGATACTACACTCACACAGCGGCATACATTGACATCACCCCAGCTGATGATACACTCACACAGCGGCATACATTGACATTACCCCAGCTGACGCTACACTCACACAGCAGCATACACTGACATAACCCCAGCTGATGCTAGACTCACACAGCCGCATACACTGACATCACAACAGCTGATGTTAGACTCACACAGCCGCATACACTGACATCACAACAGCTGATGTTAGACTCACACAGCCGCATACACTGACATCACAACAGCTGATGTTAGACTCACACAGCCGCATACACTGACATCACAACAGCTGATGTTAGACTCACACAGCCGCATACACTGACATCACAGCAGCTGATGTTAGACTCACACAGCCGCATACACTGACATCACCCCAGCTGACGCTAGACTCTCGCAGACGTACATTGTGCAGTACTATAGAATATACCTCCACGTAGAATAGTGGCCCGTAGAGCAAGCATGTCAAACTGATGGTCCGCGGGCTGCATGCGGCCCTTACAAGCACACCTGCGGCCCGCATAAAGGAATATTGTGCAGTAATGTTTTAATTCAATGACTTCTATGTGTGGTCGTGTGTGAGGCCCTCGCGACGAAACAAACGTGGCTCCTATGGCCCTGGGCGGATTCTGTCTGTCATGCCTTGACTGATGATAGTGTTGACACTCTGTGTATGTGTCAGAACGTATACCCTCCAAACAAAGAAAACGATTTTAACAATACCAGCAGAGAGAACTGTTTATATATGTAATTGTGATAGGCTGGACAACGTCAAAAACTACTGTTCAGCAGCTCAACAATTTTGTTTTAATCTGGTTGAAAAATGACAAAGAGGCCACAGGAACAGCTATTAGCTTTAGACGGTAAAGCGAAGAAACCTGGCCAACCATCAGTTTATAAAAGACCTTGTTTAGTCTTTAAGCGTCCGATTTGACTTCCAGACCGACTCTGCAGGACACCGACCCAGCTGTTGCGGCTCTGCAAATTGGGCGCGACAGCATGGGTACGGACGACTGCAGGGGAAGGCCGGTTGTCTGACTGATTTCCCTGGAGTAGATTTCTATATTATCCTTTATAGTGATCTCTTCTCTTGCCTCCGTTACAAGATACCACCTCTGCTTTGCTTCCAGAGTAGTATAGTAGGTAAAGAATCCATATTATTTTTCTTGGGTTTTTGCTCTTTAGGCTATACTAATAACCCTCAGCATTGAAAATAGAGGAAAATACTCCCTCCCTCACCCTCCGGA